AAACTCCCTTTGAGAGACGAGTTAATAATGCTACTACTAGTACTAAAACACTCCCTACATACATGCAGACAGACATAAAAATAACATTGATGTGTGTGGAGAGAAATATTGGGAACGCAGTCTGATGGTCCCTCTTCACAGATTTTGCTGATGGAATCTTTTTAGCTTGTCAAGACCTTTCATTTGATGCTTTCTGGCCTCAGGTACTTTCACTTCTTTGCAGGAGGTGCAGAGTAATTGCTTCACAACTTATTAAGTCTCTGACTAATTGGTTAAAAGCAACAGTTTACAGCAACCAGTGAGGGAAAATCAACTGGCTTCCTACAGGCTTTAAGTGTTTTTGTTAACTGCAGAGATAAAGTCAGCACCTTTCTCGTTCATATCCACAAAGCTGATAAGGTACTGGGGAGGAGCCATAGTTGTTGGCAGAAGGCCTTTGTCATCGATAACTTGTCATTACTCCACAGACCAATTAACTACTTGTTACTGGCCAAATCTTATTTTATACATACACTCTGGTGCCAGTTTGTATGCAACCATATTCTCCTCCACTGGCTGAACAAACAACATTGTAAACAGCACTCCGAATGTGCGCTGGTACCTTGCTTTTAAATAACAACATGCAGCAATCCCTTCCACAATCCTTACATTTTAAAAGTCCTTTTCCTATTCCAGTCCACAATCAGACATAGAGAAAAATAAAAAGAAATACATTGGCTGCCAAATTTAGTTTGTTCAGTGTACCACAACAAACTGTGTCTAAAAACAGTCTATTGTATTCTAAGCTACTCTTCAAAGACATGGAGGATTTGGGATGTTCAACATATTGCCACTTCTCCTCACTACTGTTTGTCAAAAGGTCTCATGGAATGCACTTTTCACACCATAAGACTCATCATTAATTGTTAATTAGTATGTCAAGATTTTCAGATAAACCTATGTGCTACCCCTTAAGCAATGGTTTATCCTCATAAACAGTTCAAATGTTTTGGAGTCAAATCACAGTTTTTATCTCCCACAATCTTACCACCCAATGTACATGATGCCTTGTTGGAAAGAATGGGACAAAATCTCACAAGAGTATGATCACCAGGCATGCAGACAATTATCCAATTCAAACCAGGACAAAGCAAACATGTTTGAGATTTTCACAAGAATACATGGGTTCATGGGAAAATACTATGCTGTTATGTCTAGTCTCTAACTGTGTAATGAACAATGCTCAAGTGTTGCAAAGATGTGGATGACGTATCTGGACTCCATATCATCAAACACCGGTCATAGAGGATGGCAACACTGAAACTGAAGGTATTGGGCTAGACAAAAATCTCACATTTACAACTTGCATCCACAATAACAAAAACATCATCGGCTGAAGCTACAATATCAAGTTGTATTCACAATTGGTCATATATCTATCAAGGAATTAATGTACAGAGGTAATTTATGTGTGTGCATCATTATACATGTTCATCAGCAAAAATGTTCCTTTTTTTTAAAGGGAAAAAAGAGATATGTATAATGGTACAGCTCCCAGACCAGACAGGTCTACACCTTTAAGACAGTTACAAAACATCACAACATGTTCAGTCACCCATGTCTATACCGTGTACAGTAACATCAGTGAACACAGAACCGAGATTATGTGTATAAGCCTGTGAAATGGTAGCTTTGTAAATAGTCAATTTGGGACAAAATTATTAGTCACATGGACAAAAGAGAGTTAATTAAGGAAAGCCTGCATCTCTTGAGATAGACAATTGTTTAACTAACTTAATGTAGTCTTTCGTTGATGAGAAAACAGAAAAGGCTGATCGGGGCAATGCTATTGATATGACGTACAATATCTTCCAGAAGGCATTTAGTATGTGTTGCACAACACAGTTAAGTTACAGCTCATGGAGTAAAAGGGACTGTAGCAACATGAATACAAAACAGGCAGTGTGATATGAAACAAAGTAATGGTTAATTAATGTTTTTATTCTAGCTGGAAGAAAATTGGTAGCACAGTTCTTCAGGAGTCAGTGATGGGATCTGTTCTCTTCCTATTATATGATAATGATCTAGATTATAGTGGACAGTACTCAAATGCAAAATTTGCAGATGACAAAAAACTTGAAAGCATTGTCATCTGTAAAGAGGACAGTGTAAAACTTCAAAAGGACAATGACAAATTGGGGGTGGGTGGATAATTGACAGATAAAGTTCAGTTTGAGGTGATACATTTTGGAATGAAGAACATGGAAAGACAATATAAATAAAGGATACAACTCCAAAAGGGGTGGAGGAGCAGAGGAATCTAAGTGAATCTGTGCATAGGTCATTCAAGATGATAGGACAGGTTCAGAGAGCAGTTTAATAAATTGATAGGGTTACATTATCCTAGATACAGTATCCTATGCTTTATTTATAGGGGCATAGAATACAAGAACAGGGATGATATGTTGAATTTCTATAAGGTACTAATTCAATCTACTGAGTACCAAGTCCATCACTGGATGCTGCATTTTATGAAGGACGTGATTGCATTAGAGAGTGAGGAAGAGGTTTATGGGAATGGTCCTGAGATAAATAATTACAGTTATGAAGATAATATGAAGAAATTAAGATGCTTTTCCTTATTGTAGACTAAAAAGTGATCTGATAAATGTTTTCAAAATCATGTTAGGTGTGAACGGCGTAAATAGAGACAACATTTTTCCACTTGTGAAAGGATCAAAATCAAGAGCACAGATGTACAGTATCAAGTAAAGCAGGTAAAGGTGATATGTGCAGAAATGTTTTCAAGCAACATATGGTTAGGTTTAGAATGCACTACCTTAGAATGCAGTGGGGGCAGGTTCATTTGAGGCATTCAAAATAGAATTAGATTATTCTTTGAAAAGAAACAACATTCGGGGTTTTAGGGGGAAAGACAGAAGAATAGCATTAAATGATATCCTCATTTGGACGTCCAGCATAGATAATGGACCAAATGACCTCCTTCCACAGCGTAATAATTCTGAGATTCTGTGGGAAATCTTAGGGATGTAAAAACCATGTCTTTTTATCTTTGTGCTTTACAACCATGGATTGAAACAAGAAAGAACTGTTTGAACTCCATTTGAACGAGGATGGATGCATATTCTTAAAGGAGAGAATTTGATACCTGTTGTGAACCCTTTTTGTGTAGCTGTGGGTTCCAGCAATGTGATGAGCTGGTGCCAAAGTTTGTTTACAAGTGAACCTGATTGGTTTGTAGTCTAGGGACCAATTATCAATGATAAAGTCCCTCTATCGGCTAACAACAAGGTGACTGGTTGTCAATTAGCTGATAGTGTGGGCTGTGAGTAAGGAAGATAGAAGCTAATCAGAGCAGGAGAGAAACCAGCAGATCTGCTGCTGCCAAAAAACCCACTCTCAGTCCTTTGCAACACCCCTTTACAACAGAAGAAAATCAACTTATCTTTCCTTCAGCAGATGCTACCAGCTGTGACACTGAATTGGGTAAGTCACATATGTTTCGTAAGTGAACAGGCTACCCTGTGCCTCTTGTACAACAGTGGAAACATTCGAAAAAAGATCGAGGAGAAGCCTTTGAATCAGCGATAACCATCATAGCGGATCTTGTTTCTGCAGACAACTGAACTATTTTATCAGTTTTCCCTCCACCTATGCATTATTTTTACTATTTATGTTGACTGTCTTTGTAAAGGGGTGTTTACAAGTCATTTAGAGATAAAATTGTCAAGTTTGTTTAATTTCGTTTAACTATTTAGCTGTAGCTAGAATCTAATGACCTGTAACAAATAAAAATTTCTTGTCCAGTACAGAAAACTGGTTTCTGATTTCTATCAACCTTGGTATGAAAATCAGCTGGCTTGGGGAATTTGCACATTTCTTTTAAAAATTTTAACTTCTGTGATGACTCCAGGAATAATGGGGTTTTATTTACACTACCCCACTGAGTCATGACAGGGAAGATGTTTGTGTTTTTTAATGAGTCCAAAATTAGAGATTCTGGGTGACATAGTGGTTCAGTGGCTAGCACTGCTGCCTCAAGGCGCCAGGGACCCAGGTTCGATTCCGTCCTTGGGCAACTGTCTGTGTGGAGTTTGCACATTCTCCTGGTGTCTGCGTGGGTTCCCTCTGGGTACTCCGGTTTCTTCTCTCAGTCCAAAGTTGTGCAGGTTAGGTGGATTGGCCATGCTAAATTGTCCAGTGTTCAGGGATGAGTAGGTTAGGTTGGTTAGCCACAGGAAATGCAGGGTAAGAATGGAGTAGAGGGTGGGTCCGAGTGGGATGCTCCTCAGTATGGTATGGACTCATTGGGCCAAATGGCCTGCTTCTGCCCTGTAGGGATTCTAGAGATCATAAATATACAATCATACATGAATAAAAACCAAGAAGGATTTTCCAGAGTTGTGAGAATATAGAATTTATTACTTCATGTTCTGAATAGCATATAAGCCTTTAGGAGAACCTAGATAACTCCACAACAGAAAGTCATTCAGATGAACCTTGATGGGAAGAACAGGTTCATAGAGTAACAGAAAACAGTAAATCAAGAAATTAAGCTGGCAACAGGCAAAAAGGAAGTTATTTAATGCAGCAATGTGCACAACAAAAACTGAAGTAATTAACGAAGCAATGGGTACCGACAAGTTCATAAATTAGGAGAGCAGTGTTTAAATCAATAAATCAGTGAATCAATGAAATAGCAGACAACAGGAAGTTTATATATCTGTTCAACCTTTACTGCACAACATGCCATCCCATATCACTGGCAATTTACTTTTCCAAGCACTAGAAATATACTTACTAACTGTAAGGGCAAGTAAGACACTCTAAAAGACTCTTTTAGTTTGAAGAGATCCTGTTACCTCACTTGGAAAATTGGAAAGTGTAAACAAAATATTCCACACTCTCATAGATGTCAAAGTTGACTTATGAAAATATCTAATTAACTGGCACAAAATTTATAATTTCTCCCAAATTCCAGAAATATTTTAGTTACTTACAGGTCTCAGGAAACTTTTCTTGTTGATCAAGCTGCAGCTTGAGCCCCTCTTAAATGTATCTCGAACTTCACTGGGGCATACAAAATTTGCCCACTCCTCTGGATTAGTAGGCATCACTGCAGGCAACATTTTTAATTTGCCCTTATCTTGAGCCTCCAATGCTGACTATTAGAGAAAATAAAACTCCAAAAATTAGGAACTGCTACAATGTTCCCATTATATTGATAGTCTTGAAACAAACAAACAATTCTGCCCTGCTGTACATCCCAAATTTCTTTCTTCCCTCCATTGGCTCTGGTCCTTGGAATTCCGTTTCTCACTTCTCCACAACTCTCTCCCCCTTTAAGATGCTACTAAAACCTAAATCTTTGACCGTACTTTTGTTCACTTGCCCTGATACCTTATGTGGTTTGGTTTCAAATTTTGTCCGGTAAGGTAAAAGGTAAAGTCATTGTATTCCTACCAGACCACAGAGCTGCTCTCTCATTAGAGAGAGCGATGACTAGTGTGGTTTAATGTGAGGGTCACTATGCCCCAGGTTAGGGGAGAGGTTGAGAAGGACCGTGGTAACCTCAGCCACTGTAGGAATTGAACCCACACTGTTACTCTGCATTGCAAACTAGCCATCCAGCTAACTGACCCCCTTTATCCAGTAACAGTTCTGCAACAAGTCTTTACTTATACCATGCTCATGGCAACATGTATACTTATATAAGAGACACAAATTGTTGTATTTCACAATTTATCACAAGATTGACAATTACTCTTTAAACAGAGTGTAATCTACCATCAACCATGTCTTCTGGTCACTGAATTCTCTTGTTCAGTCCAAAAGGAAATGAAATTACTCTTAAGGTTTTGGAGTAGAAATTTTGGAAATGAAATTAATTCTGCTGTATTCAGTTTGTGAGGCTAAAACCAATTGTCAGAATTTATCACGAGATTATATAGAAGCAAAAATGTGCAAATTAATGATGGCACAAATACTAAAAGGCAATAATAATGGAATCTTGTAAAGAAAATTAAGCAAACTTCAGAATTTGCTTTTAAAGTTTGAATCAAAGGACATTCCTCAGCCCCTGTACTGCATATTCCTGCTTATCCTGAGCACTATTAGCATCCTAAGACGTTCTTCAAGTTAGGTAGAAATTCAGTTCTATGGTAACAGCTAAAAGTCACTGGCTCAGGCAGGTCAGCCCAGATAAAGGCTAGTAGCAGAAAAGGCATCCTGATGGAAAGTCACCCACCAAATCTGAAAATGATGCTTGTTATGAAGGGGTGAGATAGAAGCAGCATGATAAAACAAAAAACATAGATAAAGCTGAAAGGGAAAGGAAATAGAGTAGGTAACAGGCACAAGACCATCATTTTGTCCGTGTAACAACTGGCACACTGCAGTCTTCATCTAATACCTCTCTGGGTAAACTCATCCACAAATATCACGACTCTTCTGTAAATATATAAACAGAATCCAGCAAAAGACAAGATCAGATTTTAGTTGAGAATTGGGTGTAAACCAGGTGCATGCCAAGAGATGCTACGTTACCTTGGCTATACCCGTACAGTCAATGAACCTCATCTGGTGTTAAGTGTTGTGCTATTGGTGCTGTACCTAAACCAAACCAGATTGAGCTGCAAATCTGAGCTAACTGGGAAACATAGAATTATATTTCGCATAATGTGTGTTAAATAAAAAATAATTCAATGTTTTTCTTCAGGTTTATTGCAGATTACCTCTCTCTTGCCCTTTGATTTATTTGACTTTGTTCCTGTGTCAGTACGGATCATTGAAATAGCTATAGATAATTGTTTCATAACTGTCTCTGCTGCTGTCAATGATACCTAAGTTTAAAATGTTAGGAAACAAAAAAAAAAGTTAAGAATAATCAATTACAATGACTTAGCTTCAAATTGAAGCTATTTTCAACAGTCAGACAACATCTTTGCTTATTTAGTTTTATTCATAAACAAACAAATTAGACTGTTATATAGGAAAAGTCAAAGACAAAAGGAAAGAGGAACAGACTGAGATTATATACCGCTTGCATGACCTCAAGATAGTTCAAACTGCTTCATAGCCAGTGAATTACTTTTGCATACATCAAAGTTGTTCAAGCAGTAAAGAGGTAATAATCAGATAATCAAGAATTAGGTGCATTTGTTGAGGTGTAAATAATATTCAGGACACTGGAAAACTATACTTTTATTCAAAAAGCTAAATGATCCATTACTTCTGAGGAGAAAAGGAGCAGAATTCAGAGCAAAATAACGAATGTGGTGAATAAATCAAACTTAGCTTTGTGCAAGATCAAGAATTCTATGTGAAAATTTAGAAGCTCGAGTCCATAACAAAAGACCAGATACTGTATTTGAGGCAATCCAACACAGACAAGAGTATAAAGTAATAACAAATGTGGAGGTCAAAAATCTCTGCATAATCGGACTTCAGAAAGTAGATTTCTGTCCAGGACCAAACACCAGCAGAGTAAATGTGAGTCCTTGGCTATATATGTAATTTTTAGACAATATTATGGACACTGTAGGCTAGAACAGGTTGCCTGCTACTGCAATGCAAAGACAAAGCTTAAAAATGTAATTTGGCATAGCAACACAGTAACAACAACTGCCATCTCAACAAATAGGGGAGGAAATGAATCTCATAATTCACTGCATAAAACTTAGCCAGAAAAGTCTGGTTTCCAAGGAATTGAGCAAAGGGAGAACAGCAGCAGGCTCTCAGATTATTTTCCGGGATCGGGGCAGTTTTAATGCTCTCCCTGGTCCCACAGTTAAATAAAAAAATTATTATTTATCTGTTTGAATGGTCTTCAGTGATTCCTTTAAAGGACCACCAGTTTAATTACACTTGTGAGCCACACCACTGCTTCCACTCCACAAAGTGGAAAATCAAAATCGAAATGATGTCCTAGATACATTTTTGCAATTTAAATTTATTAAAATGGCTTTAACCTATTTGAGGGTGAGCACTCTCCGTGTATATAGAGATGCATTCAAAGTGCATCCAGCAAAGCTCTGAAATTAAATTGGTGTAATGTGCTAATCCATGATCACTCCAGTCACCCAAAAACGTAATAAAATAAAACAATTCCATTAAATCAGACTGGTCAGATTAAATCAGACTTTGTTTCAGTTGACATATATGACTGTTAGAAGGTTCATTTATACAAAATTGTTTTGATTATTGCTTTTTCAAATAGCCTTCATGTGAGAGTATAAAGCAGATTACATATATCGTAATTACATAATGTATAAGTATAGTACAGGATTCATGCAGCACTTACCTGCCATATGCACATAACATAACCATATGCCATTAAGCAATGCTGCTTGCATGATTCACGACCTGCTACTATCGCCATTATAGTTTGTGCAATCACTAACGTTTCCAGTTGTCTCACATCTTGTAAGTTTTCTAAGGATGGGTTAGTGTCAATAGATTGTACTCCAATCAACTGTTGACGTTTTGTCGGAACCAAGTTGTCAATTTTTGATTGATTCTCCTTTTCAAAGTGGTCTTCTGAACATGAAAACAAAACAAAAACAATAAATATGATGTCTATATCACCCAAAAACAAAGCTTAAGTAGCAAAATTTTGATGATTTTAAACGGACATAGTAGCCTTCACGTTTTAAAAGACATCACATGATGGCGTGAATTTGTTCGCAACAAGTGGAATTGCAACTTGTGTTTTTTGTGCACTCGTGGGATGGCACCACGTAACTCAGGAAACACTTGGCAGATCTGGTATCATCTATGAACAGAGAAACGATTAATACTTTAGGTCTGTGACCAATCAGAAAGTGAAAGATCACAGAGCTGAAACGTTCACTGTTTTTCTCACCACTGATGATGGCCAAACTTGTTTTCCACTATTTTGCTTGGGTACTATTTTGTACAGTCATCAGTTCAGCGCTGGACTGATGACTGTGGGCTGAATCTTATCAGGTTTGGAACAATGTGGGCTATGCTATGAAACTGGGAGAATTATGAGAAAAGTCAAGCATTGCCTCTCTCAATTTTGAGAACAACTCACTGTATTTTCTAATATAGTTCTGGGGGTCGAGACAAGATTCTTGCTCGGCACTGGCGAGATATCTATTAAGGAGCAATTATTGCTTGTTAACAGGCCTATTAACCTCAAATGTGCCTCATAAATATACAGTTTTCTATCCTACCATCTGCCATGTGGAAACTGTACATTCATGAGGCCAGATTAGGCCAGGCATTTCTGACAACTTTCACTTGCTCTTCTGGGCTGCCAACTTGGAAATCCAACAGCAAAACTCAGGGCAAACTCAATAAGCAGCAGCTGCCAGCCCCACTCCTCCCTCACCAAACAATCCATGGACATAGGCATCCAGCCTCCCTGCTCATGGCACATCTCTAATCCACTTCAAAACTGCACATCAAAGGGCACACAAGCAACCATCAGTGCTGCAAAGACACTTATGTGCAGAGACAAACACCCAGCTCTCAGGCTGGACCAGGCTGAGTCTCAGGCTGCTTGTTCACTCACTCACTATGATCCTAGCTGGATGTTCACAGCATCTCATTCTGGCCTTGGCCTGTCTTTGTGCGTTATGGCCCCTCAGCTAGAGCTACCAGGCTCACAATGCTCCTTCTTTAACATAGACACAGTCAGGAAGTTTGTTACGATTGTCAGAAGTCCTCAGTCAAGGCCTTCGGTCAGGATGTCACAGCACACCATGTCAAGGGCAGCCTCCAGTGTCAGTCCAGGGGCTTCGACACAGTCAACCAACCATTCAGGGTAGGCAGGGTCAGGATACCCTCCTCGTAAGAGGTAAAGATTTCAATGTCAGCCACCCTGCCAAATATCTTGGTTCTTCCTGCCCTACTGGGAGCTGTTCCTCCTGGAGTGACAGAAAGGGAGATATTGATGGAGGTAAAAGTGACTGACACAGTTGTTAGTACTGGTGGAGGTGGGGGAAAGGTGGTGAGATGTTCAGTGGGAGAGAGTAGAGGGCTGGTGGGTTAATGTCTGATGGGTTAGGATGGATGGGAGCAAATGAGAGATGACTCTGAACGCAGCAGTGAGAAGGTTAGAGCATGAGCCTTGATGGTGGGTCGGTACAGTAGGTAAATTATAGAGAAGGGAGAAATGTTACAATGTCAGTCAGGATGGTGGTTAAGATGATAACTTGAAAAAAGGTTGAGCAACCATTATGAAGTCCTACAGCAGACAGCAGCAACAAGCTGACACTAGAAATTGGTCTCTAAACTCTGGGTTGAAATTGAGCAGGTTTCTCGCTTGGATCTGGGTAACGTAAATGCTAGGTCAATGATGGTATTCCACATAGGCCTGAGTTTTCGCTCACAGATCAGGAGCATCATTTCAGGACAATAACCAGCTCCACAAATCCAAGCATGGAGTATGTTCCCCAGATGGTCAGGTTTGCATTCCAGAGAAGTGTACTGAAATAGACATACTTTTAAATGCCTATTCATGTCTATATTTCACAATATCAAAGAGCACTTGGCTTTTCCCAAAGGTGTCCTGGAACCTATCTAAAAGGGCATCTTGACTCTCCAAGGAACTGCACTAAGTATATACCTCCTCCTGTTGCGACTAATGTGCACAAGTTATGTTTTGGACTTCCCACTGATTAGGTCTGACTGAAGGCCTAAAGGATTAGGTGTAGACCATCCTTTAGATAGGCTAGTCAAGTGGAGAATTGATGCCATTTTTGAATACCAAATTGACATCCAATTGGTCAGGGTAGATCAGCCCCATCTTAAAATTTCCATGCTTGAAAAATATGTATTCAGCCAACCTGCTTCCTCCTTAATCTCCAAACTTGGTTTCATGCTCAGAAGTAAATCCACAGCCCAGTCCAACTGGCAGTAAGCATCACTTTGAGGAAATCCATTGCAATACAGCCACTCACCAAACACAATCAGTTGGTTGATTTTCTGCCAGTTACTTTCTGGATTCTGAAATATTATCATTCAAAAAACATTAACAAATGCAACAATACTTGCAACTACACACAAGAGCATTCTCATGAATAAGTACAGATCTCAAACACACATCTGCAACAGTGACATGGAGTTTATGCCCTTGGACTAGGGGATTGGAATCAAGGAATATTTGAGTGGGCTTGGATAAAGGAGAACTTGGCAGAAGAAAGAGAAGATATGACAGCGAGAGGTGGTGTGCAAACACAGAGTCATACAGCACAGAAAACAGACTCTTTGGTCCAACCAGTCCATGCCGAACATAATCCCAAATTAAACTAGCCCCCACCTGCATGCTCCTGGCAAATATCCCTCCAAACCTTTCCCATTCATGTATTTATCCAGATGTCTTTTAAATGTTGTAAATGTGCCCACATGCACCACTTCCTCAGGAAGTTCATTCCACACGTGAACCACCTTCTGTGTACAGAATTTGCCTCTCATGTCTTTTTTAAATCTTTCTCCTCTCACCTTAAAAATGTGCCCCCAGTCTTGAAATCCCCCATCTCAATGAAAAGGTACCTACCATTAACCCTATCTCTACTCTTCATAATTTGATAAACTTCTAGAAGATCACCTCTCAACCTCCCATGCTCCAGTGAAAAAAGTTCCAGCCTTTCTTTATAACTCAAATCTTCCATACCCAGCAACATCCTGGTAAATCTCCTCTGAGCCATTTCCAGCTTAATAATATCCTTCCTATAACTGGGTGACCAGAATTGGACTGCACTGGGAAGAATTGGGGTTAGAATCATTAGGAAAATCTTTGGTAGTGAGAAACATGATGAATGGGTGTTTGATGATGTGCCACAATGCAAGAATTTGAATGAAATTAAAAACATGATACTCCTCTTACACTGCATATTGTTTTAATGACCAAATGCACAAAATACCTTCAAAACATCTATTGAATTTTGGTAACAAGTTAATTGATCTGTAATTTCTTTTGAGAAAACTGCTACACGGTGCCACATGTAAGATACATATTCTTCGCTGTCATCCTTCAATTTCTGCATGTCCATGCTGATACCGTGACTAAGTCTTGTATTCACCATAATTCTGTGCTTGAAGAGAAGCCTTCAAATAGAGAGTAATAGAAATAATTTGTGAATTACTGAAGTGGTTTCTAGATTTTTAATCAATACTAAAACTTGAATGCTAATTGCAAACATGAAATTTTCATTATGAAGTGGTGTTTTTGTCTAGGGCTGAACTTTTGACATTTTTTATTGCTAGAAACAGCATAGAAAGTTCAAAGATTCAATGCTATTCCTCAAAGAAAAAAAAATGAGCTCACAAACCCAAGACTAGCAAGAGGTGCAATATGTGCATGGAGTCTACACAGACCAGAGCCACACTCTCCCAAGCCACCATCCGATTAGGGACATGGGGTCACAAAAACTTGGTACATTGTTTCTACTTTCATTCATGCCCGCAGGATTAACTTTTATTGGATCATGACTTATTTTTACTTACAGCCTCTGTTTACATCTGGGCATATCCCGAATGGCATCATCTAACACTTTCAGCCCAGCTTTCCAATCTCCTTTATTTATATAAATGTGGAATAAAAGGCCATACAGTGCTGCCACTAATTTCAGATCATCTTCAGGATCATCGACAGCTTGAAACAAAAATATAATCAGGTATAAGTTATTACACATCTACCAGATGTACATAGATCAGAACAAAATACTATTAGACTTTGTGTTTATTTAGCATTTTAGTATTGTAAAATGTCCCACTACATTTCAACCAAGCATAACAAAATAAAATACACAGATTTGAAGGAGGAAACATTGGGATACGTGACCAAAAGCTCGATAAAAGGGACAACTAATGACGTGACTCTCTTGTTTGATTCGTAGGATATGGGTGGAATGGAACAAATAAAGGGCAGTCCTACTCATTTGGACAAGAGAGAAAGGAAAAATAAAGAAAGAAAAACAAATAAAAACTGAAAGAGCTGCAAATGCTGTAAATCAGGAACAAAAACAGAAGTTGCTGGAAAAGCTCAGCAGGTCTGGCAGCATCTGTGAAGCAAAATCAGAGTTAATGTTTCAGGTCCAATGATCCTTCCGCAGAAAAACAAATCATATAGCACATTTCACAAACTCAGGTCATCACAAAGCACTTTAGACGCAATTCACTAATTTTGAAATGGTCATTGTTGTAAGATAGAGAATGCACAAGTCAATTTTAGATACAGTACATTCCCACAAACTACAATGTGTTTATGAGTGGATAAAATGTTGTTTTTAGTATTGGTCATTAATGTGGTCAGGAGATCAGGGATAAAAACTCTGTTTTACTTCAGAACTTGGAAAGCAGACACAACCTTGGTTTAGTAGCTCATCCAAAAAGTGGCACCTCAACAATGCAGCAATCATTAAGGCCTACACTGTAATGTCTGTCTAGATTTTTGTGCTCAAGCCTCTGAAATAGAACTTATACCCACCCATTCTGGTTCAGATATAGGAGTGCTACCCAATGACTCATAGATGGTACAGGGAAGGGATAGAATTTCAACATCTCATAGACAATGTGTAGAAAATCAGTGTCGTTTAAAAGAAAATGAAACAACAGGGCAAAAAAAAATTCTGGTGGTCATGAACAAAATTGCCAATGTAAAATAAGAAACCAAGATGAAGATTTTTGGTGATATCAAAGCCTTGGTTTCCTGGTTCACATCAGCAGAGGTTTCTGGCTAGTAAGATCATTAGCCCCCTATTTAATTCATTTCTAAATAAAATTAGTAAGTAATATGTCAATCCATTGAGATGTGACTCCTAAGGGAGATAAAGGAAAGAATTTAGGCGAGGTGACAGAGTTTCCCCACACAGTAGGAGAATCAGTTAAAACCCCTCATTGCCTTCCCATTAAGGCTCACCGTAGTTTAATTGTAATCAGGCACTTACCTGGACAGCATATCTCAATTAGGTCTTACACTGGGCAGAAATCCCATCTTGAGAGCTTCCAGGCAACCAGAGGTGTAATAACCGATGCCTGAAAAGCGCAGAAGCCTTCACCAGAGATCAATGCTAGATCTCTGGAGATAGGCGAGTAGGAAGATGGAGGTCATGAGGACAGCGTCGCTAGCAAGGGGACTGTGGGCCAGGGGGGGAATGTGAAAGTAGTGATGGCTTTCAATGGCAGCCCCTTCCCAATGCACTGTTAATTAATCATGAGGAATCTCAACGCCGTCCCCATGAAGCCTAAGGAAATACTTTTAGAAGACATGGGAGATGCACATATGTCCCATTAAATCTATTAGCCATCATTAAATCCAAATAGGTTGAAGGAGAGTTATTCAGCTTGTTCATGAACCTAACTGAACTGCTCCATTCTGGTGGGAATCCTCCATTGGGCCCTTGTTGCTCCCCGATAAATGTGGGATAATTTTCTAGTCACCAGAAATCAGATGAGGGGCATCCCACCTAATTTCCCTGATCCTTCCTGTGCCTCACACTTGCTTCAGTGGATTCCATTAAATTCCACCCCATGTCTCAGTAGAGGACAAACACAAATTGGAAGGGGCACTTTAAAAAGTGCTTTGTTTCAGAATTTACAAGATTGAAAGCTACTGAGGAGGAGGCAAATCTTCAGTTGGGTAAAGGTGAAGTGAAATACCCAATATGAAAGGGAAACAAGTTAGTTAAGTTAAGGGAAGATTCAAACCCAAATGACAGGAGGAATAACAGAGACCGGTTCAGGAGCAAGCATGGGGTTAAATTCTCCAAATAAAGTGCCTGCATTTTGGGAAATTCACGATCTTTTAAAATTCCAGACTTTGCCACAGTGCACTCTCAGGTTTCTTGTAGAGCGATTGGGTGTGTAAAATAATGGTTTGATGTCATAGTGATTTGAAGGGACGGTACAGTGTAGATGAAACAAACGCTGCCCGACATTGAGGACTCAAGAATAAAGAAACATTACTTACAAGCCAAGTATGCAAGCAGAGCAGGAGAAACTTACTTTACTCAGGGGGCGGGAAGGTTATGTACCTCAGAGTTAGAGGTTGAAGCAGAGACCATGGTAACATTTAAGAATAATTTACTTGGTGATTTAAAAAAAAAGAGAAATGAAAGGAAAAGATAATAGAATGATAGATTAACTGGAACTACTAGCTCACGAGGAGGATAAACATCAATGTCAACTAGCTGGGGCAAAACACCCAATTTTGATGCTGCAATTTTCATGGATGAACATTGTAACTTGACTGAACTGAATTCAATTATTTATCGTTTAAACAAATTAAAGAATTATCTCACAGTTTAATGCAGAGCGATGCAAAACAAAAGACCAACATATAAATATAAAACAATGAAATTTAAATTTGTATTCAGGCTTATTTGTTAATTGATTTCAACCCGGTGACAACATTGAAAGAAGGCATTGCGAGCTCAGCACCCCTCTGTGATTTATGATTAATTCAGCAGAAGCGATAGTGTGAGCTATAAATCCCCACCCCATTTATTATCTATAACTTCCTGTTCATGATCTTGACTATCAGAAAGGAAACCTATGAATCGCCAGTTGTGTGTGTAAAGGAGTGTTGGGGTACGTGAACGTGCGCATTTCACTTGTTCCGAGTTCAAGATCCATTTCTGTTTTGTATTGCTTTAATCCAAGAATTTGCAAATCATTTCCTCAGTTTTCACTAACATGTTGATAATGCTCCTTGTGCAAAGGGAAGTTGTTGTTGTTTAACTTTTGAATTCTGAATCATTTCTTCCTTTTCTTCTTCCTGCTGGTCAAAATGAAAAGACAATGCAGTTATTAAAAAAATATATATTTTGTGAAATCATTGTATATATTGAATATATTGATAGATTAGGCTTGATGAAAAAATGTCACATTCTCAAGGCACGTATTTGGTTGAACAAATTTGTCATTTCACTCATCAACTGCGCATTGACGAATTGGAAGCTCTTAGGATGCATTAAAGCATAACTGTGCCAGGTCTTTGAAAGAGCTGCTAAATTTATCCTGCACTTTTGCTCTTTCCTCTTCACAATGTAAATATTTTCCTTTCCATGATTTATCGGATCTCTTTTTGAGAGCTGTTTTGGTGACAGCAGCAGGGTAAGGATTCAGGTCAATTGTACACCAAAAAAGACTGGTGGCCCAGGGTATACCTGTAGGACCACGATTAGCAATGCGATAAAAGCTTTCAAAATTGATTATTCATGAATCACGGTTTTCAGCATTGAAATTTGTGTCAAATCTGAATTAAATGTCAGTATTTATGAGGCCCACTGTAGCTTCAGTGGGCAACCCATTAATTGTTCAAAATGAGGAACTCAAATCGGAGAGGCCAAGATTAATTCAACATTGCATTAATCCGTCATTTTCACCTCTCACCCACACCATTCTACCAGGAGAGACAGGGTTAATATCGGAGGCATTGTTGAAATTCCTTTGGGGATCTGCCATTCTTCTGTCATAATGCCAATAACACATTGGCTGGCATCTTGCCAATATGGAGAAGATTCAGTGTATCAGTTTGTATTTCCAGATGTTTCCTTGCTGTCTTGTAACGGTATGAATGTTTTGTACACTCCTTACTAGGCAAATGCATGTAGAATGGGGGTGGGGGAGAGAAGAAACACTGAGAAGCTAAATGAAAAGAGACATATAGGAGATAACAAAGTGTACAGCTGGATGAACACAGCAGGCCAAGCAGCATCAGAGGAGCAGGAAGGCTGACGTTTCGGGCCTAGACCCTTCTTCCTAGACCCT